GGTTGTGTGCTTAGGGTCGTTGTCCTATTGGAAGGTGAACCTTCACCCTAGTCTGAGGTTCTGAGCGTCCTGGAGCAGGTTTTCATCAAGGATCTCTCTGTACTTTGCTCCGTTCATCTTTCCCTCGATCCTGACTAGTCTCCCAGTCCCTGCCACTGAAAAACATCCCCACAGCATGATGCTGCCACCACCACCATGCTTCACCACAGGGATGGTGCCAGGTTTCCTCCAGACATGACGCTTGGCTTTCAGATCAAATAGTTCAGTCTTGGTTTCATCAGACCAGATAATCTTGTTTCTGATGGTCTGAGAGTCCTTTAGGTGCCTTTTGGCAAACTCCAAGCGGGCTGTCATGTGCCTTTTACTGAGGAATGGCTTCCTTCTGGCCACTCTACCATAAAGGCCTAATTGGTGGAGTGCTGCAGAGATGGGAGAACCTTCTGGAAGGTTCTCCCATCTCCACAGAGGAACTCTGGAGCTCTGTCAGAGTGACCATTGGGTTCTTGGTCACCTCCCTGACCAAGGCCCTTCTCCCCTGATTGTTCAGTTTGGCTGGGCAGCCAGCTCTAGGAAGAGTCTCTTCCATTTAACCTCCTAGGGCTTAGTGGTCACATACGTGGACAGCACTTTTTAGCTCTTATGTCCACAATTGTGTAGAAGTTCTGTCATATTTCATGGCTTATTCTGATTTAGATATTTATAAAAGCCTTGTATATTTGTCATGACATGCAAATTTGAAAAAAAAAGTGTAAAACTAGCAACTTTGTAGGTCGCTAAACATGAAGTACACGTAAGTGTACTTATGGACTGAGGCTCCTCGAAACAGCTAATATGCTTGTAAACATGCACACACGTAAAATGGGAAAAAAGCTAGCTCTGATGCAGCTAAAAAGCTGTACATGGTCCCAATGAAATAAATAACAATTAAATCACTAAATACATACATACATACTTAAATTAGTTGTGTTGAAAATGTTAGCCAAATGCAATTCGGACCATGAATCCACATATGTGGACATAATTTTTCTCTAAAAGTACATCATATCAAAAGATGATACTTAGTTTTTATTCTAATTAGGTTCCAATAAGCCCAAATAGCAAAGAGAAATAAAAAATGCATGTAAAAAAACAGCTTGGGCCTTAAGAGGTTAAGAATTATGGAGGCCACTGTGTTCTTGGGGACCTTCAATGCTCCAGAAATGTTTTGTTACCCTTCCCCAGATCTGTGCCTCGACACAATCCTGTCTCGGACCTCTACGAACAATTCCTTCAACCTCATTGCTTGGGTTTTGCTTTGACATGCACTGTCAACTGTGGGACCTTATATAGACAGGTGTGTGCCTTTCCAAATCATGTCCAATCAATTGAATTTACCACAGGTGGACTCCAATCAAGTTGTAGAAACATCTCAAGGATGATCAATGGAAACAGGATGCACCTGAGCTCAATTTCGAGTCTCATAACAAAGGGTCTGAATACTTATGTAAATAACTCCAAGGGCAGCTTTATGCTTCTCCTTCACCCAAATTCAGATAGCTGATGTCCTGAAAGAGCTGCTAAATCTGGACCCCTACAAATCAGCTGGGCTGGACAATCTGGACCCTTTCTTTCTAAAATTAGCCGCCGAAATTGTTGCAACCCCTATTACTAGCCTGTTCAACCTCTCTTTCATATCGTCTGAGATCCCCAGAGATGGGAAAGCTGCCGCGGTCATCCCCCTCTTCAAAGGGGGTGACACTATAGATCCAAACTGTTACAGACCTATATCCATCCTGCCCTGCCTTTCGAAAGTATTTGAAAGCCAAGTTAACAAACAGATCACTGACCATTTCGAATCCCACCATACCTTCTCCGCTATGCAATCTGGTTTCCGAGCTGGTCATGGGTGCACCTCAGCCACGCTCAAGGTCCTAAACGATATAATAACCGTGATCGATAAAAGACAGTACTGTGCAGCCGTCTTCATCGACCTGGCCAAGGCTTTTGACTCTGTCAATCACCGCATTCTTATTGGCAGACTAAATAGCCTTGGTTTCTCTAATGACTGCCTCGCCTGGTTCACCAACTACTTCTCAGATAGAGTTCAATGTGTCAAATCGGAGGGCCTGTTGTCTGGACCTCTGGCAGTCTCTATGGGGGTGCCACAGGGTTCAATTCTCGGGCCGACTCTATTCTCTGTGTATATCAATGATGTCGCTCTTGCTGCTGGTGACTCTCAGATCCACCTCTACGCAGACGACACCATTTTGTATACATCTGGCCCTTCATTGGACACTGTGTTAACAAACCTCCAAACAAGCTTCAATGCCATACAACACTCCTTCCGTGGCCTCCAACTGCTCTTAAACGCTAGTAAAACTAAATGCATGCTCTTCAATCGAACACTGCTTGCACCCGCCCGCCCGACTAGAATCACTACTCTCGGCGGGTCTGACTTAGAATATGTGGACAACTACAAATACCTAGGTGTCTGGTTAGACTGTAAACTCTCCTTCCAGACTCACATTAAGCATCTCCAATCCAAAGTTAAATCTAGAATCGGTTTCCTATTTCGCAACAAAGCCTCCTTCACTCATGCTGCTAAACATGCCCTCGTAAAACTGACTATCCTACCGATCCTTGACTTTGGCGATGTAATTTACAAAATAGCTTCCAACACTCTACTCAGCAAATTGGATGTAGTCTATCACAGTGCCATACGTTTTGTCACCAAAGTCCCATATACTACCCACTATTGTGACCTGTACGCTCTCGTTGGCTGGCCCTCACTACATATTCGTCGCCAAACCCACTGGCTCCAGGTTATCTATAAATCACTTCTAGCCAAATCCCCGCCTTATCTTAGATCATTGGTCACCATAGCAACACCCACCCGTAGTATGCGTTCCAGCAGGTATATCTCACTGGTCATCCCCAAAGCCAACACCTCCTTTGGCCGCCATTCCTTCCAGTTCTCTGCTGCAAATGACTGGAACGAACTGCAAAAATCTCTGAAGCTGGAGACACTTATCTCCCTCACTAACTTTAAGCATCAGTTGTCAGAGCAGCTTACCGATCACTGCACCTGTACACACAGCCCATCTGTAATTAGCCCACCCAACTACCTCATCCCCATTTTGTTATTTACATTGTTATTTATTTTGCTCATTTGCACCCCAGTATCTCTATTTGCACATCATCTTCTGCACATCTATCACTCAAGTGTTAATACTAAATTGTAATTATTTTGCACTATGGCCTATTTAATGCCTTACCTCCATAACTTACTACATTTGCACACACTGTATATAGATTTTCTATTGTGTTATTGACTGTACATTTTGTTTATTCCATATCTAACTCTGTGTTGTTGTTGTTTTTATCGCACTGCTTTGCTTTATCTTATCCAGGTCGCAGTTGTAAATGAGAACTTGTTCTCAACTGGCTTACCTGGTTAAATAAAGATGAAATAAAAAAATAAAAAAAATATGTAAGCATACTTTGATTTGTGTGTTGTAAGCACTGAGCTATTTGATATGTAGAGGATTGGTTCCGGTAATATAAACCCTCTCTCAAAAATATTTTTTTCAAATGAGTGCTGTGCTTCCAGAATGTGACTACTACTACTAGGATATGAGTCACAATATCTTCTTTAGATCTTATTAGCTAAAGCAAAGTGATGCAATTAACATATGTGTCGTCCTTTCAATGGCACATCTCCAACCACAGACGCCCTGAGGAAAACCGTTTGGATTCATTTCTCTTACATGATCAATGGACCAATCACATTTAGGCTATTATAGGTTCTAAAGTGTAACTTATGGGATTGGATCAATACATTGCATTTCTCACTACGCTGTTTAGGATGCAGAGCCTATAACCACATAATATCTGTCAAACCTTAACGAGACGCTTCAGTGAATTAAATCTAATCACATCGATTTGTCATTCAGTATGATATTTAAATTCTTAACACCCTGCTATCCAAAAATCTCAAAATATATATGTTAGTCACTTCTTCTTATCCTTAAAGGTATAGTTCACCCAAATTACAAAGTGCCATACTGGTTTGGAGACAGTGGCCAGGTAAACAGAACCAAAGCATGAATTGATGTCTTATCTTGTCAGACTGTTTCCAGGGTAAGGAAAACAATATCTTCTCAGACTGTTTCCAGGGTAAGGAAACAAATATCTTCTCAGACTGTTTCCAGGGTAGGGTCTAGCTCATAACCTTGCACTTTCGCCACCCTGTGAAGTTCATTACTTCATTAATAGGCGTAACAGATGGACAGCTTTTAAAAGTGCAACTCAATCTCAAACTCAGCAGGCATATGAAAATATAAACCTGATCTGTCAATAACTGTATATTAATGATATGCTCTGGCAAAGACCCCCTGATATAGATTGATCTATATGCCTACATAACTCACTTTTATGGCATGGACAGTTACATAATTGCATTATGTGGTAGATAAACCTAAATAAAGTTTCTGACAGGAAGGACTAGTCTAGTATTAAGTCGTAGAATTTAGAGCGGCTGTGAAAGACTAATGGATTCAATAGGTCAACATTGGCCTGTGTGGTTATTTGGTCAATTCTGACCCCTGCTGCAGGCTCGAAGAAAATACAACAACAAAAGACTAACGCCTCGATCACTTCGACAGCCTTTTGGCATTGTGGTACACCAGAAGTACATTCATTTCAAATGGAACGCTGCGTTTGAGGCAGTTGCATTGTGGTGCGTACGTTGGATTTATCGAACGTATGCATCAAACTGTATGTGTACATTGCTTGACAGAAATGGTAGCAGAAGATGAATGTTGAATGTTTGTTGCACACATATCCAGATGATGCTGCGTACCATTTTGCGCAATAATCCTGTCGGTTTGATCGAGGCGTGAAGCATGGTAGTTCGTGGAGTGCATGGAGGGTGGCGCTACTTCTCAAATCAACCACCCGTTTGCACAGAAATCTGCACTTGAATCTGTTCTCTGTGGTGCATTACTGGATGTCTTTCAGCATCTCCAGAACACAGTAGCTAGCCTGTTAGCTAGGGCTTCCAAAGATATGAGCCGCGAAAGAAACCACAGTTTTACCGAAACAAGCCTTTCTCCTGACCCTCAAAACGCATTCATGGACACGCCGGTGTCTGCAGCGCGACCCGATGATGATTTCTTGGAATTCGAGCCCGACGAGGAGCTTCTCTGCTCGGTGAGCGACATCACCGAACACCTTGGGAGAAACATAACAGTGGTGCTCGAGACGGCGTTGTCCGAAATCAGGAAAATGGTCAGCGTCAGGATACGGGTCCTGAAAATGGAGCTTCGGGAGAAAACGGACGAAATCGAAGTCCTAAAAGCAAGGCTAGAGGTGCAAATAGACGGTAGGGACCCGTATCCTGGCGGAATGACCACCGAGGCGTCATCTGTATTCAGGAAATCCGACTTCCATTCAGGCAGCAAGCACAACAACAACGACCACAAGAAAGCCAAACCAGCCATGCCTGGCGTAAAGAAAGAAAACATCAATGCCATTTGCGACTATCTGATGAAAGATAAGAATTCACGGGGTGCTGAAGCAGACAGCGACCCGAGCAATCCTTCGTCTGGTAGCGACAGGGACAGCCGCAACGACCCCCAGCCGCACTCCCTCAACCACCTGTGGCCGGACAGTGGCATCCCTGGCGCGGGACCTGGGGACGGGGAATCGGACTCGGCCACGGATGACATATTCGACATGTCGCTACCATCTGGAAGCAAGCGGATCCACGACTATGAGTGGATTACTGGGGTGGAGTACACGTCGGATTTGAAAGGTAACCTCATAAAAAATTCACTGCACCAATTAATCACTAACCTCATCAATCACTCACTGTACTAATCAATCACTTGTAGGATTAACATTGGCAATGGAGTAGGGACGAATTTTGGAATATATGCTGATGTTATCCAGTCCTGCAGCATTGCATGTGTCTCTATGTAAAGAGGCTGTATAGGACCACTGTACTTTTCTATAAAAGGGCATGATTAAACACAAACCATATGTTTGTTTTCTGAGGTATGAGGGAGCCAAAATCTGAGAGTGCCACAACACCAGATGAGGAAGATGTTGAAGAGTGTGATGAGTCAAAAGAAGAAGGGGATGTTGGATTGGAGTATCCCCCAGTGCCTCTCTCCCATGACAGCCACACCCCCAACTTTCCCCTGCACCCCCAGGGCTCTCCCGGAGGGGAGGGGGACAGTTCTTTGGAGGACCATGTGGATCGACTAGAACCAGGTGAGTGAAGAGAGGAGATGGAAGACGTCGTAGTTGGCACACGTAAACATCCTTTACATCAGGGTTCTTCAATTCCGGTCCTGGAGGGCCGAAACACTTCTGTTTTTTATTTCTACCTGGTAGTTAATTGCACTCACCTGGTGTCCCAGGTCTGAATTAGCCCCTGATTAGAAGGAGAGGATGAAAAACAGAGGTGTTTCGGCCCTCCAGGACCGGAATTGAAGAACCCTGCTTTACATCGTTCATTTTTGATCTATCATCTTCACATTTCTTTGCACCATACATTTTGATTATTGTTTTAGTTATTTTTTGCAGCCTTCTGACCAATCCTTATTGTCGTCGGCTGTATGCTCCTATTGCATGCTGATGAACTAGAGGACAGAGTGCAATAACCATAATCATTACATTTGTCTACTCTGTTCACAGGTCAGCAGTTTCCCTCCCACACATACCTCTGCCCTCTGTGTGGAACCTTCTGCCCCGACTCCTTGTTCCTGGAGGAGCACCTCAAACTGATACACGGCGACACCACCGGCACCCACAGCGCCCTGCAGTCCACCTCCATTGCTCCCCTCACTCTAGGAGAGGGTAGCAGTGACTCCAAGCGGGGCTTGACGGGGCTTGAAGGAAGGAGCATTGGGGCTGGAGCTAGGGGGATGGGCCTAGCAAGAGGAGGAGGAGGAGGAGGAGTAGGGACGAGGGAGAAGAAAGTGGAAGGGGGTTACGAGTGCGGAGACTGCGGCCGCCATTTTAACTACCTGGGCAACCTGCGGCAGCACCAGCGCATTCACACGGGGGAGAAGCCCTTCATATGCCCAGAGTGTGGGGAGAAGTTCCGGCACGCTGCCCGATTGAAGAGTCACCGGCTGGGGCACAACGGAGGTCAGAGCCCCTTCCCCTGCCCCCAGTGTGGGAAGGGCTTCCCGGTACTCTCCGGCTTAAAGAGACACCAGCGGGTACATACGGGGGAGAGTCCCTACGCGTGCCAGCAGTGTGGGCGGCGCTTCAAGGAACTGGGTAACCTGTACACCCACCAGAGGATTCACAGTGGTGCCACGCCCTACTGCTGCCAGCAGTGTGGGAGGAGTTTCCGCCACCTGGGCACCTACAAGAGCCACCGCTGCACCCCCACACAGTGACAGTGACAATCTACGCTGTTACCTTGAAGCTAGGCTGGCTAACATAAGCCTATTGATATGCTGTTCACTGAGGCAGGAACATTGTCTGAGTCTAAAAGACAAGCCTCATATGGACTTAAAAGGGAGGGAGACTGTGCCATGATGAAGAAGAGGTCAAAGGGCATCCTAATGAAAGCCATGGACTCGTTCAAATACTTAAAAGCACATAATTCCCTCTTCAGCTCCCTTCCTTGAAGTAATCACTGATCTAATAATAATATATTTAATTTATATAGCTCTTTTCATTAAAACAAGAATCTCAAAGTCGCTTTGAAAACAAAAACAAATGTAGGGATCTGGCAGTTCCTGTTTGATGGTCTTCCACAGCTTCAGATGTCTAGGCAGTTCAGAAAGGCAATCAGTAGCTTAAGTGGCGGGAGCATCGATGGTACAGACAGGCAGAGAGAAACATCAGACAGATACTGGTAGACAGGCCTGGAGCTCTTCATCAGTCAGATACTGGTAGACAGGCCTGGAGCTCTTCATCAGACAGATACTGGTAGACAGGCCTGGAGCTCTTCATCAGACAGATACTGGTAGACAGGCCTGGAGCTCTTCATCAGTCAGATACTGGTAGACAGGCCTGGAGCTCTTCATCAGTCAGATACTGGTAGACAGGCCTGGAGCTCTTCATCAGACAGATACTGGTAGACAGGCCTGGAGCTCTTCATAGATCAATCAAATGTATTTATAAAGCCCTTTTTTACATCAGCAGACGTCACAAAGTGCTTATACAGAAACCCAGCCTAAAACCCCAAAGAACAAGCAATGCAGATGTAGAAGCACGGTAGGAAAAACTCCCTAGAAAGGCAGGAACCTAGAGAGGAACCAGGCTCTGAGGGTTGGCCGGTCCTCTTCTGGCTGTGCCGGGTGGAGATTATAAGAGTACATGGCCATTAAGACCAGAGGGGGTCAAAACAGGTCCGGGACAAGTTAGCACGTCCGGTGAACTGGTCAATAGTTGAAACTGGATCAGCAGCACAACTAGGTGGACTAGGGACGGGAACATCCAGGAGTCGTCAGGCCAGGTAGTCCTGAGGCATGGTCCTTGGGATCAGGTCCTCTGTGAGGGGAGAGAGAGCGAGAGGCATGTCGTCTCCTCCGTAAGTAGTTAGGCTGGATCATCCACTGTCAAAGTGTAGCACCCACCTGGGTGATGCTTCGGCGGCTGTAAAAGCGCCAGAAAAGACCACCACACCTCAACAGTAGACTGGAACAGTCCTCTACGAGGTGAGTTTCTGCCATTCCCTCACACCGCAGTCCACATCGATATTTACAGAGCTCTATGCCTAGGCGACCACACGGCACCATGGCAACCCCGGAACTCTGACATGTCAAATCTGTGATTACTTCCAGGAAGGAAGGATGCATTTTAGTAGTATAACCCTTTGGGAAGAGGACGCACACCAACAGAACAGTGTGACTGCTGCCACCATGTGGACTCTTTATGTTACTGCACAAATGAAGCTTCATGGTGGCACTGTCAAGCGCTGACTGTGTTTTAACCTCATTTACCTACCAATGACTATTCTGTCCAGAGCAGATAAGTTGGCATTTTATCATTTGTAATAACTATGCTGTAACCTATATTACTGACATTATATTCTTTACACTTTATTGGTATGTCCACCTGCATGATGACGACAACATGTCAGAAGTTCTTATGAACTGATATCTGTAGTCTACCCCTTTCAAATTCACCCCTCAGTTAACAGGCTAGTTATCTACAGAGGTTCAGGAAAATGTTCAGTTCAAGGGCAAAGATATTCCAGTAAATAATAACCCCTCTTTTCTCTACTCACTCCAATTGTCTAGCTAAAAGCAGAGCCATGTGTTTAGAGAGTAGGGACATTGAGGTTTCTGCATTATGATGCAGTTACAAGACACTACGACATTCTATGGCAGTCATATTAGGCAGTCAAATTAGCGCACCATTAACATAAAATGGGGAATATTTCAACAATGCTATGCAACTAAATGTCTAGCTAGAATTAGAACAATATGACACATTCTTAAAAGTTGTTCCAACTCTCTAAATAAATGGCTCTGGCTAAAAGTATCCACAATACTGTATGTGAATGTTGAACACATAAATAAAGAATCACCAACTTGCCAAACATTTCCGGTAAACAATTAATATAAAAACGGTAGATGTGAAATGCTAATCATTGACCGTCTGCATTCTAATAAACATTCTTATGTGGTGCTTGTGTTGTGTGGATGTACTTTTCCGCATCACTTCCTCCATTGACCAAGACATCCTGGGACATTTTACATTTACATTTTAGTCATTTACCAAACGCTCTTATCCAGATCGACTTACAGTTAGTGCTTTTATCTTAAGATGACTAGGTGGGACTAACAAATATCGCAGTCATAGTAAGTACATTTTTCTTTAATAAAGTAGCTATCAGCAAAGTCTGTGCTAGTAGGGTGTGTGTGTGAGAAGGAGAGAGATGGCAGGCTCCATTTAACACTTTGAACACACCTACAGCGTCATTGCGTTTTGGTACACCAGAAGTACATTCATTTCCAATGGAACGCTGCGTTTGCCTTGCAGCATTGCATGCAGAGGCAGCTGCAGTGCGTTCTGTGTGGTGCACACGTTGGATTTATGGAACGAATGCGTCAAACTATGCGTAAAGGGGTTGACAGAAATGGTAGCAGAAGGTGAATGTTGAACTTTTGTTGCACACATATCTAGATGATGCTGCATACTATTTTGCGCAATGACACAGTTGGTGTGTTAAAAGTGTTAAGCTTACTGTATGCTTCCCAGTCGAAACAGTTCGAATATACAGTGAGCTCCAAAAGTATTGGGACAGTGACACATTTGTTGTTGTTTTGGCTGTGTGCTCTAGCACTTTGGATTTGAAATGATACAATGACTGTGAGGTTAAAGTGCAGACTGTCAGCTTTAATTTGAGGGTATTTTCATCCATATCGGGTGAACCGTTTAGAAATTACAGCATGTTTTGTACATAGTGTTTCTAAACACTTCTACATTCATGTGGATGCTACCATGATTACGGATAGTCCTGAATTAATCGTTAATAATGAAAGTGAGAAAGTTACAGACCTACAAATATCATACCCCAAGACATGCTAACCTCTCACCATTACAATAACGGGAGGTTAGTATCTTTTTGGGGGTATGATATTTATGCCTCTTTAACCTTCTCACTCATCATTATTCACGATTCATTCAGGATTATCTGTAATCATGGGAGCATCCACATTAATGTAGAAGTGTTTAGAAACATATTATATTCTTATTTACAATGAAAGTGACTCCATAATGACACAAAACATTTACCATTCATTTCTATTGGGCACAAAATAATCTGAAACACAATCAAAACTAACAGCAAATGCATCGAACACGTTTGTAGAGTCGCAAGCTTGATGTAGTCATTGTGTGCTAGGAATATGGGACCAAATGCTACTTTTGACCACTGTAAAACACATAAGTGAATTTGTGCTAATACTTTTGGTCCCCTAAACTGGGGGGACTATGTAGAAAAAGTGCTGTAATTTCTAAACGGTTCACCTGATATGGATCACAATACCCTCAAATTAAAGCTTTAACCTCATAGTCATTGCATCATTTCAAATCCCAAGTGCTGGAGTACAGAGCCAAAACAACAACACAAATGTGTCACTGTCCCAATACTTTTGGAGCTCACTGTGTTATGATGAAATGTTGTGATGTTTTTGTTCAGCAGCGTTCGGCAGGGTTTTTTCGGCTGTTTGTGCAAAAAAATAAATATTGAAGCTAGCTGAAATCTACACCCCTTTGTCGGTGATTGGTCAACAATAGGGATTATTCAATGAAGTGTTTGTTGTCATTCAACAACTTATGACTAGTTTTTATGCACATTTTGTTCACTTGAGAAATACTGGACCAAACATCTTAGTTAGATGTAAAATTGCGCGACTAAGACCACCTCAGCAAAAATGTCAACATTTATTACAGTTTTATTTATTTTAGATTAATTCAGACTATTTTGAGGATGTGTATTGTGTTGCTAATGGCCTGTAGGAGTCAGAACTGACCTTCGGCTCTACCAGCCTGTAGAGCACTGACCTTCAGGTCGTCTCACACACCGCCTGTAGGAGGAACTGACCTTCTGCTCTACACCGCCTGTAGGAGGAACTGACCTTCTGCTCTTCACAGCCTGTAGGAGGAACTGACCTTCTGCTCTACACCGCCTGTAGGAGGAACTGACTTCTGCTCTACACCGCCTGTAGGAGGAACTGACCTTCTGCTCTACACCTCCTGTAGGAGGAACTGACCTTCTGCCCTACACCGCCTGTAGGAGGAACTGACCTTCTGCTCTTCACAGCCTGTAGGAGGAACTGACCTTCTGCTCTACACCGCCTGTAGGAGGAACTGACCTTCTGCTCTACACCGCCTGTAGGAGGAACTGACCTTCTGCTCTACACCGCCTGTAGGAGGAACTGACCTTCTGCTCTACACCGCCTGTAGGAGGAACTGACCTTCTGCTCTACACAGCCTGATAACCAGCCCTCTGTGTGTGTGTGTGTCATACTCTATCTGTAAATGTCTGCTCAGCCCACAGAGATAGATAGAGACCTCTAGATGGATGTAACCCGTTTTAGCATGGACATTGCCATTGAGGGCTTCCACCATTTTAAAGTAGTCAACCGGGTGGGGATTCCTATGGGTTGGGAGCGATCAGCCAATGATCAGAGCATTGTCTTCTTCAAATTGGGTTGCCTATGGTTTGTAAATGGCGTTAAGCTATATCACCGCCATCTAGAGGCCACAATAGATGAAACACACACACACAATATTTGGTTTAGGACTCCAGCACTGCAGGTGGTAAATCACCAATATTACCTTTACACTTTTTTTCACAGGAAAGAAGAGGAAAATGGAGACAAAACAGACACAAAGATGATATCTCTATTTCTATGGCTGATCCACAGAGCTGTGC